GACAAATACAGTATATCCACTCATGATAAAAACTCTCTGCCAACCAGGTCTGCCAAATAGGTCTATTATATGTCAACATAATAAAGGCTTTATATGAAAAACTCAGAGCCAGGGTACCTGGTTTGCTCAGTTAAGCTTCTGCTTAACTCAGGTCATGATCTCAGCATCCTGGGATCGAGCCCCGCATTGGGCTCCCTACTCAGTGGGAAGTCTACTTCTCCCTCTGCTCCTCCCCACTGCTTGTGCTCTCTCTCGCTGTCTCTCAAATAAATAAAATAGAAAAAAAAAAATCTCACAGCCAATATCATACTCAATGGTGAAAAACAGAGAGGTTTTCCCCTAAGTCAGGAACAAGACAAGAATGTCCACTCTCACCATTCTTCTTCAAAATAGTACTGGAAGTACTAGCCAAAGCAGTTAGATAACATAAAGAAATAAAAGGCATCCAAGTTTGTAAGGAAGAAGTAAAACTCTCACTATTTGAAGATGACATGGTACTCTAAATAGAAAACCTGAAGACTCCACCAGAAATTTACTAGAACTGATAAATGAGTTCAGTAAAGTTGCAGGATACAAAAATCAATGTACAGAAATCTGTTGCATTCCTGTACACTAATACTGAAGCAGCAGAAGGTTAAGAAACCAGTCTCATTTACAATTACACCAAAGCCAATAAAATATCTAGGAGTAAACTTATAGAGGTGAAAGACTTGTACTCTGACAACTATAAAACACTGATGAAAGATATTCAAGACAATGCAAGAAATGGCAAGACATTCCACACTTATTAGTTGCAAGAACAAATACTGTTAAAAGGTCTATACTTCCCAAAGCAATCTACAGATTTAATGCAATCCCTATGAAAACAACCACAGCATTTTTCACAGAACTAGAACAAACAACCCTAAGATTTGTATGGAACCACAAAAGACCTCAAATATCCAAAGCAATCTTGAAAAAGAAAAATGAAACTGGAGGTATCACAATACCAGATTTCAAGTTATATTACAAAGTGGTAGTAATTAAAACAGTATGGTACTGGCATAAAAATGGAAGTAGAAATAAACCCAAAATTATATGGTCAACTAATATTTGATAAAGACTGAATATACAATGGAAAAAGTCTCTTCAACAAATGATGTGGGGAAAACTGGAAGCTATGTGCAAAAGAAAGAAACTGGACAACTTTCTTTCATCATACACAAAAATAAACTCAAAATGGATTAAAGACCTAAATGTGAGACCTGAAACCATAAGGATCCTTGAAGAGAGCACAGACAGTAATTTCTCTGACATTAGCCATAGAAATTTTTTTCTGGATATGTTTCCTGAAGCAAGAGAAATATAAAAGCACAAAGAAACTATTGGGAGTACATCAAAATAAAAAGCTTCTGCACAGCAAAGGAAACAATCAACAAAACTAAAAGGAATCCTGCTAAATGGAAGAAGATATTTGCAAATGACATATCCCAGTAAAGAGTTAGTATCCAAAATATATAAAGAATTGATAAAACTCAACACCCAAAAACAAACAATTCAATTTAAAAATGGGCAGAAGACATGAACAGAAATTTTTCCAAAGAAGACACACAGATGGTCAATAGACACATGAAAAGATGCTCAACATTGCTCATCATCAGGGAAATGCAAATCAAAACTATAATGAGATATGACCTCACACCTGTCAGAATGGCTAAAACAAAACAAGAAACAAGTGTTGGTGAGGATGTGGAGAAAAAGGAACCTTTTTGCACTGTTGGTGGGAATGCAAACTGGTGTAACCACTGTGAAAAACAGTATGGAGGTTCCTTAAAAAATTAAAAATAGAACTACCCTATGATCTAGTAATCACACAACTGAATATTTAGCACCCCCCCAAAACCCCCCAAAAACAGTAATTCAAAGGGATACATGCACCCCTGTTTATTGCAGCATTATTTACAATATCCAAACTATGGACACAGCCCAAATGTCCATTAATAGATGAAAGGATAAAGAAGATGTGGTATATATACATATGCAATGTACTATTACTCAGTATAAAAAGAATGAAATCTTGCTATTTGCAACAACATAGATGGAGCTAGAGAGTATAATGCTAAGTGAAATAAGTCAGAGAAAGACAAATACTGTGATCTCATTATATGTGGAATTTAAGAAACAAAACAAACAAGCAAAGGAAAAAAAAAGGACAAGCCAAGAATCAGACTTAACTATAGAGAACAAACTGATGGTTACCAGAGGGGAGGTGGGCGGGGGAATGGGTGAAATAGGTGATGGGGATTAAAGAGTACACTTTCCATGATGAAAAAAGAAAGAAAGGGAGGGAGCAAAGGAGGGAGGAAGGAAGGATGGAAGAAAATATATTAAACAGTTCCTGTTATGTAATAGCAACTTATATACTTGATATATCTGAATTGTAAAGACGTCATATATCTTTATATTTTGAATGTTACTTTTTATGTCTGCCTGCTTTCTTTTCTGCCTTTCTACATATCTTTTGACTTTATTTAAAAATAGTTTTTCATCTTTTTGTGCAAAATGCCATGCAGAAATATAAAGCTGATAAGTTAAATACCTGTAATAGAGGCACTTGCCAGTAGGAAGGTAAGGTATATAAAATAAAAGATAGAATACTGAAGAAGTGGGGCTACAAAAACTTCAGGATTCCAAGGAGATCCACTAGTTAGGTTCATCAAGCAAGACTTTATAATGGAGATAACTGTCCTAGACTTATATATGTTCATTTATTTATGTTTTTCATTCATTCATTAAAAATACTTTTGAGGACCTACTATATTCCAGGCATGTGTATAGACACTAAGAGTTCAGAGGTAAATAATACAACTCTAGTCTTTGCTTTCGTAGATCTCAACAGATAGTGAAGAAAATGTACAATTAACAAGATTTTACAACAAACTGCTCTGAAGACCCAGAAGATGCTGTGAGAACATTAAGTAGGAGACCTAATTTAGAGACATTTATTTAGCCTTGAAGAGTGAATAGGAATTAGCCAAATGAGGGCTGGAGTTATGGGGGGCAGGAAGGAAGAATTTTGGGCATAGATGGAACAGCATGTATGAAGATCCCAAGGATGGTATGATTTTGATTGTTTTGAAGAATGGGAGGTAGGCTTTGTGGGAGAAAGGGAGATCAAGGGAGGAGGTATATGCGATGAAGCTGAAGAAGTGGGGAGGGGCCTATCTGTGCCCTGAGAAATTTTAATCTCATCAGTGAAGTCACCAAAGGATTTAAGCAAAGGTAGCTGTGGTGTGGCAAATGGAATCGAGTAAAAGTCAGGTAGCCAGTTACAAGGCTTTATTTTAGGAGTTCAGATTAAAGATAATAGTACCTTGGATTGTGTGTGGTTTTGGCTAGAGATAATTGAGTGATTCAAGTTGTATTTTGAAGGGAAAACAAACACTATTTGTTGGTTCTTTGGAGGGGGAGTGTCCAGAGGATACTAAGGTTTCTTGCTTGAGCAATGGTGGGTCATGATGTCCTTTACTGAAATGAAGGATACTGTGTATGGCTTAAGATCATGAACTCAAATCTGAGACATTCTCACTTTATAAAAACCATGAGACATCCAAATGGAGATTTTGGATGGCAATTGAATAGACAAGTGTGCAAGTGTACTGCTTAGAAGAGGGATCAACATTAAGGATGAAAATGTGAGTCAGGGGCATAGGGATGTATTTTGAAGCCATTTGAGTGTTACGATTGGATATTATTTGGACCAGCAAAGCAAAGTAACGTTTTTTTCTTAGACATAATTTTTACCACATGGTTTCAAAATACATATGTCATTATTCTGCAATACTCAGATAAATATTTTCCCCTCTTGAGTATCATTCCTCTAACATGAGATTGTAAGTCAAAGAGAGAATAAAATGCATTAATTAAACTTACTTTACAATAAAAATTACTGGTCTTTATCTGTTCTTGAATAGATACTTATTTTTGCTCTTTAATTTTGGTCTTGAATTCTTTTGCCCTCATTCCCTGCCCCCAGATAATGTATTTCTATGGTAATTTGTTGGAATATTTGATTGGTTAAATGTTTTCTTATGTCAGGCAATTTTGTAAGTAACATGTTTTCCCCCCAAGGAATTGGATTAAGGGTGGAAATCTTTTCAAAATTAACCAGAGTTATAATTATCGTCTAATTTGTTGCTTTAAAAAGCCCTATTTTATGTATCCATAATAGTTTGTTTCATCATAGTTTTAAGAATCTTTCTCATCATAGGGTCTAACTAAAATATGAAATATGTTAACTCAATAATTTAAAAGCAGATTTTATTCATCAAGTATCTATGGAATCTCTACTGAAGGTAGTACAATTAATTCACTTTTTTTTTACTTTTTCATTTTTTTAGAGAAAAACTTCAAATGTCCCACAGTATTATAAGATCTACGGTATCCATTATTGCTTACAGATTGGCATAAATTTTGAGAAAAGCACAATAAGCAGGGAGGAAATTCTGCACAACTCTGAAGGACTTGCTAAGCAGAATAGGCAAGCTGTTGGAAAGTCTTGTAGTTTATTACAAGGACTGATCCAAAGTGAAAGTAGAATTACTCATGAAATTAATTAATGATTTAAAGAGTCAACTCATTTTGTGGCTTCAGTGATAAAATTTAGACCTTTACTGAATTGAATTATCTGTCTAAACATACTTCATAAGATACTGGTAAAATTACAGTATTTTTAAAAATCTGAAGTTTCTTAAGATATTACCATCTTCATCACTACAGATTTACTAAGCTAGGGTCTGAGTACTGATTAATCCATGGGTTAACCTTTTTTGCATTTATATCCAGATACACAGGACTAAATAGTTCTTATGTGCTAGGAATTTGCAAATATGTATTATTTTTCTATTTGTAAATTTATTTTTAAAAGAGTATCTTTTTTGGAATAGTCATATTGTCATCTAACTTGTGTCATTACCTTGTATCATTACTCAATCTTGTGCCGTGTTTTCTTTGTCCTGAAGGAATTGCCTACGACCCTCTGATGCTGAAACACCAGTGCATTTGTGGCAATTCCACCACCCACCCTGAGCATGCTGGACGAATACAGAGCATCTGGTCACGACTGCAAGAAACTGGGCTGCTAAATAAATGTGAGGTAATCCTAAATTGGCTACATTCTTTTACTTACTTAAATAAATCCTGTAAAGAGGCCAGTATTCATTTGGGTGATAGTAGAAAAATGTTAATGCTGGAGCACAAACACCATGATGGATGAACCATCATTGATACTAGTAACATAGCACTTATGACCTGACTCTGGGCTATGCACATAGTAGAGATTCAGTCCATGTTGATGGACTGAGCAGCTGCATGATGTATGTGTGCTATTATTGCAGCACTTTTTGGTATATACGGTAGCATGGTTGTTTCCAAATAGGTGTCATTTATTGAGTTAATTTTCTGAGAAACTCTACAAACTGTTAAGTGCTAAGTGGTTGTTATTTCTTATCATAAACTATATAGTGAACTCAGATATATGCCAAATTTGCCTATGGAAATGACTAGATTTAAAGATTAACTGTCCTCTTACCAAGAAGAGTCACTTCTTTTTATTGAAGTGGCTGATGTTCTTACATTTTTATGGTAGAGGTTTGAGTACTTTTATTTCATTGGTATTTATTAGATTCACTTCTGCTGATTCCTCTTGAGTCCCATTTTTCATTTAGAAAAATCTATTTCTTAGGCTTTCCAAAGTAAAAATAATATCAATTCAAAAAGGCTCCTATTGTCAGATTTGCAAATTATGTAACAGTCAGCAGCTGTTTGATTTAGTTGCTATAAATGTCCATTTTTGCCTAAAACCCAGTAACATTCTATATTTGAGTCTAAGACATTTTTAAAAGAAAAATATCCCCCATGTTTTTTTTTTTTTTCACATCACTTTAACATTTATTGATCAAAAGTATTTTTTTCCTGGGTTTATATTATGTTCCAAATGTGTTCTAGGGACTAGAATTACAGAATTTCACAAGACAAATAAAGTCCCTGTTATTACAGACTGACAGTTTAACATGTTGCTCTTTGGTTTTGTTGTCAGTCTTTGCAGATCAGTGAAGGAAATCCAATCTAGTTCTCACCAGTTTGGGAAAAAATTAAATGGATAATATTTTGACTATAGTCATTATCATGAGGAGACAAATATTGAGACTACATTGAATTCACTGTACTTTGATAAAATAAAAAAGCAATCTTTTGCTACTGCTTTTAAGCTAATTAATTTTTGGCAACCCAAAATGTAGTCCAGAATATTACTATTGAAAGCCAGTTTAGTTTAAAGCAAACCTGTAAAATAATTTCAATTGAGATAGGAATGTCAAAGCAGACAGAATATTTCTTAGAGTCATGCGCACTTGCCTATATTTGGTGGCCTGAGTTACATCAGTCTGATCCTTCTTCTCTGCAAAGTAGTAAACATAGCTGACTTTTGAAGATAGAAAGTCATTTATTCAGTGCATTCATTTGTAAGGATATATTATTTTTTTATTGATTTTTCTCTTTTGAAGATAAAGTATCTCATCTTACAGGGTTATTTTCTTTACATCAAAATATAGATCATGTTTATGGGTCATTCTGCAGGTTGGGATTGTGAATAAATACACCAAAATAGTGTGTATATATTTAGTTTCACAAGTTTTATTATATGTTTATAATAGAATTATCAATTTTTTTGTATTTAAAGCTATACTTTTGATTAATGTATTCTTTACCTAGAAGCTCTAAAATGAAGGAATTTGAGCTAGATTTATTTCTCTGATTCTTTCTTGAGTAAAAGCCTATTATTCATCTTTTGCCAGTAGCATCCATATTATATGGCAGAAGACTTTTTCATACTTTATGGTAAATTATAAAGTTATTAAGGTTTTTATGTTTTTGATAATGCACTTTGGAGGCTAAACCACTCTGTTGTCTACACAATCCCATATGGAGTAAATGAAGTAAACCAGCAAGGGGACTTATCTGTGGTGAACTGGTCTTAATGGACATTGATTCATGTGAACATTCCTGTTTCACCTTTGCATCAACTATAGATGCTTTCCAGCGTGGCATTCTTTCTGTGCTTTTACCAGCTAAGGCATTGCTGTTTACATTTTTTTTTCACTTTCAGGTCTTTATTATATCCTGGACCCTTACGCCAGCCATTCCAAATTAGCAGTGGCTGATCACAGTCTTCAAATGCATTGTTAGATTATGGTATTCCTTAAATCTATTACCTGAGGGAATACTGGCTATGAAAGGAGCAAAGTGCCCAGAAATAAATGGAATGTAATATAGCTCACACTAGTCTTAACATTTAAAAATCTGTTATCCATTTCTGATCAGTCTTCTTTTTCAGTTCCTCATACATCACATTATTTTAGTCTTATATTATTTGAAAGCATAAAATTCAATTTATACAACAGCACTGACTGATGTGATATCAGACTAAGGGTGAAATGGTAGAAGTACAGAAGGGCTGATGAGAATGAGTGAGTCTAGCCCCAGCCCAGTCAGCTAAATAAGTGTCTCTCTGGAAACAATCACACAATTACAAATAATGCACTTGAAAGCCCAGATCAGCAGATTTGCTCTTAATGAAGGCCAAGCACAAAAGTATGATCCACAACTTCACAGTAATATAAACAGAACACTCTTTTTTGCTAACATAGTTTGAAAACAGTTCACCAGTTTGATTTCTTAAGTGATGAAATTGTTGCCCATAATATATTTATTTGCTCCTATATTATCAGGTATCTATGACTTTATTCTGACCTAATCTCAAAATGGAATTTCTAAACCCATTAAAAAACAATTTAAGATACCTAGGAATTTGATGTTTCTTTGTGTGTAAATGATTTTAGGAATATTCAAGATGGAATTTTAAAAGTGATCCATAATCAAACAAACGTTGCCCTTTTCCAGAGACTTTCAGGTTCTATATAAAATAAAACAAAGTAACAAAAGGGGTAAAACAGAACCACAAGAAACATGACTTATCTTTTTTCCCTGATTGTTTCTACTGGACAAGTTGGGGAGAAAATAAAAAGGGAACATACAGAGATTATTTCAAACCAGTTTAGCCTATTCATAAATAGTAGAATCTACTTCCTTAGCCAGTACTCTCCCTAGTAAATGCAACTAAAACAAGTGATATATGTTTGTTGTGGATTTTCTTTTAAAGTTTTTGATTTGACAAGTTAAATCTAATGTACACATTTATTAATATATTACTAGCCATCTTTCAAGGATGCTAACCTTTTTGTCTCAAGCCAAATTATTTTGAAAGTTTCAGTGATGCAGAAGAGCAAAACCACAGAAACATAAATCAAGCCTTTTAGCAATTCACCAAAAACTCAATACAATCAGTTGTTGAAAAATCAGGAGAGAAGTATACTATAAGTGGCAAGTGGCTAGGTACATGGCAGGTGCATTAACCAGTTAAAGAGGCAAAAAGTTTCCTATATAGGCTAATAGATTTTCCGGTTAGTGTTTATGAACCTTCTATAGAGATCAAGGCCAATGACAGTATCTTCCAACTGGACTTGACTTATTCACTCCAAGAGAAAAAATTAGATTTCAGCTTGGGTATGAATGAATATTTACCAGGATGGCTGAAGGACTTAAGGAGAATGAGACCTTTCTTTCTAAATTTGTGTAGGTAGGACTATCAGGAAGTTAAAGTCCAGCTCTGTTTGTTCCTGGATTATGTCTAGAGCATACATTCCTGAGAGGGTACAATCTATGTGTCTAAGACTCCAGGGATGTGAGTACCAGCCCTTTTGTCTAGGTTATCACTCTTTCCTAAGCAGTATAGACAAATTCCTGACCTGGTTGTGAACAGTAAGAACTCAGCTAAGTTGTCTCACAGGAGAGAGGATTTATTAGATTTTGTAGAAAAGGATATAATCTAATAAGAATATGACACCTAGAAGCTGGGTCAGTTTGTTTTTCCCCAACATCCAGAGAGTGATTTGCTGTCTTTGAACACTATTTTCCTGCCAGGTTTGTGTAGCCACCCATAGTTAGGGCTTAGCCTTTGCTTTCAATGAAGGAATCAACCGAGTTCTGGGGACATATAGCTGGCCAGCAAGCAGAAACCTGAGGCTGGGTAAGTGGTATTCATTTATTGATTATAGTGGTGCTCAAATGTTAGCATATATCAGAATCATTGGGAATGCTAAGACACATATTGCTGGGCTCCAGACTCAGAGTTTCAGATTCAACAGTAGTGGAGTCCTGTTGGAGTGAGGTTTATGAATTTGTGTTGCTAACATGTGTCTGAGTAATCCTGAGACTGCTGATATGGCCATCACACTTTAGGAACAGGGATACATCCATTCAACAAACAGTATATCAAAATTTTTATTTTCCCAGGCTCCTGTGTTAGGAGGTGGAAATATAATACCCACAAGATGCATACCCTGCCTACAAGGAGGTTACTGTATGGTGGGATCAGCAAACATTAACCAAATGATCACATAAATAAATAAATAATTACAAAATCCCAACAGGTTTTGAGTCACTAGTTTATGTTACAGTTATTTTAAAGACTCTTACTGATTGAGCTTGGGGAAGAAATAAAATGAGAAAGACTGGCCTGCTGCCTCCATAGTCTTGACAGCATCAGAAGGGCCATCTAAACAAGAGATAGAAGTGGAAATATTACATCTTAGAGTTCAGGGAGAAAATATCCCAGACCTGATGTTGAAGACCTTGCTCTCTTTCTGTTTTTATTCACATGCATTTTACGATTACTATTCCACTGGGTAAACAGTAAGGAGTCTCAATTTTACTGGCGTTCAGAGAAAAGTCAGCTTCCCTCAACCAACAGAATAGTCAGTTTTGCAATTAAACAATGATATGATAGAAAAGATGGCAATTTGAAAACATTTAAAGTCCTCCTTTGTTTCAAAATAATAGACTGATCCACAAATCAGACTTATGTATTGTGTCAGTTTATTTAGCAGTGTAGAAAAATTAATCAAAATGGATTCCTTCAAGGGTTATTGTTCAACGTTAGATTTGACCTTAGTACTGCCATTAATTATCTGTATACTTTTGTCAAATCATTTAACTTTACTGATCTTTGGTTTTCCCATGTGTAAGATGAGGCTCTTA